GGGTTTTGGGGTTTTAGGGGTTTCAGGGTTTAGGGTTGAGGGTTGGGCGTTGCGGGCTTTTCGGGTTTAGGATCTAGGGATCAGGGTCTAGGGTTTAGGGATTAGGGTTGAGAGTAAAGAGGTCAGTGTGGAGTTTAGGGTTTGGGGTTTATGATAATTGGAACAAGGAGGTCAAGGGATCTTTACATGCTGAAAGTATTCTGATTTGATGCTGACCCGTTGGGCCCTAAAGCCCTAGAGCAGCATGCCGAGTGCACAGATGGGATAAAGCAGGAAACGCTCCTCACTGCTGACCCGGCCCAGCAGAGGCGCCAGGCAAGCAGACTGCCATTGAATTGGGTCTGGGGAACTGGGCGAACTAACTTCCTGTCGGCCGCTTGCATCTGCTGCATGGACACCCTGGCAAAATGAGGCGGGGGTTCCTGCAAGCGGTACTGAAACAACTTCTCCACGAGCAAATCGTGGTTTTCGTAAGACATGACGTTGGCTTGCTCTAAAGCGAGACCTCTTCGCACGAGGCAGTAGCGCACCATCATCTCACTGCTGGCGTCGCACGGAGCCGCATGCTGCTTGCTGGCAAGTTTCAGGGCCCCTGAGGCATCAAAGGTAAGCCCTGTGTCCTTCTTCAACCCTGTTGCCAACTCATGCTCACGCGAGACGCAAGTGCTCCATTCTTGATACAAGAGCCTGTCGCTCTCGTAAATGGCCACAGCTTTGTCTGCAAGGGAATCGCCGGGCTCATAATTTGAAAGGCTTGTTTGACGTAGCGGTTTTTTAGTAACAGCCAGAATCAGAACAACATCGTATGGAGTTCTATGTTACGGAGCTTCAAGGGTGTTTGACATAGGAGCCTCAAGCATTCAGCTAAGGTCGTGGAGGGCTTCAGACTATACGTTTTAATAGCGGGATCTGAAAGCTTCGGAGATACTAAAGGGTGGTTCATTGTACTGTAAACTTTCAGAGTTATACAGGGACCAGAACTACCAGAACTAGGGGATATCCTCAGTAATTAGTAACTGGTCACACCTCCATGGTTCACGCATGGGTTTGGGGGAAAGGGCGGAACTTCCTCTTATCGTACATGAATTTAATTGCTACTACTAGCGATTACTGACTACTACTAATACTATCGTCAAGTATTCCACTTCTGACAGTTACTTCATTGATTCATAGGGCTTCTTACACCGCTACTGCTATTGCTGACGTGAGATTACCTGTAGTTTGGAAGTCCTAGTCTCAGGAGTCCATTAGAGTTGCATCGGCTTTACACGTTCCAGATTGGCTCTAAGAGGGTTCAGGGTTTAGGGTTTAGGGTTTAGGGCTTAGGGGACTTCCAAAAGGGTTCTTACAAAGCTTGCATGCCAGGGAAACGGATGACTGCGGCTAGCACCTTCATGCTCCAACTCGCTTACGCAGCAGTCAGGCATGTGGGGCACATGCAAACCGTCAAACTCACTAGCATTACGTATGGCTCTACCGGTCTCCAAGATGCTGTAGCAAGAACTGCAAGAACTGAGAAAGCGTCAATGCCAAAACCCCCGACTTCGTGCGTGCAGTTCCTAAGCCCTAAGCCCTGACGGAACCCTTATATCAGATTGGGTGATTGTCAATATGATGGTCCGTTTTGGGGTCCGTAATATAATACGGCACCTAATATTTAGGGTACCCAAAAAGGGACCCTAATTTTGACAACCACCTATATAATTACCCCACAATACTAGATTGAAATGGCGAGCATCCCGAGCCTAAGATCTGAAACAAGCTGTGCTCGCTTACTCCCACTGGCCTTTTCGCTGTCCAAATCACGAAGCTTAGAGGCACGCTTACCTATACCCGGACCCCCACAGTATGTAGAATCATAGCTTTTGGAAGTTTTGGGCCATTACTTTGCCTACTTTGGGGGGGGGGGGGTTAGGTAGTCGGCCTTCGCTTGGAAAAAATTCAACCCTAGACAATGTAGGTGCCTTAATGATCAAAGCCGGTTTTGGGCCCCTTTATACTAGAACTATAACAAGGAGCCCTAAGGAATAACATGGGTAGTAATTCTTTAGGCTTCTATATTAGCTTCAGAAACATGTCTTGTTTAAGTTGATTGTTTTGTTTTTTAGTCTCAGGGTGCCCAATACCCTTTAATTGAGGAATATACATTAAATCATAATATTAAGGTCCTAAAATTTCAAGTATATTACGTAATTAAGGGGAATCATAATATTAATGCCCCCGCCAAATTTCAAGTATATTACTTAGTTAAGGGGAATCATCATATTAAGGCCCCTAAAATTTAAGGTCCATTACTTCATTAAGGGGTATTGGGTTCTCTGGGGAATGCTCACCCAAGGCCTCCAGGGTGTCCAAGCGAACATCCAGGGCGAACATTCGAGCTTCTGTGAGTGTCCTGGGCGCCATACTGTCTGGTGCTTGGTAGGGAATGGGGGAATTAGTTATAGGGACTACTATAAGGGACCTTAAGGGACTATCATAGGGATCCCTTCCCCCATTCCCTACTAAGCACCAGACAGTATACCAGGGTTAATTAATCATAGGCATTATAGGGTCCAGGGCCTAGGCTTCAGGGTATAGAGGCTCTACGGCTACATTTGGGGCTTAATTACTCATAAACATTCTAGGGTTCAGGGCCCAGGGTTTAGGGAATATATGGGAATATGGGCTATACGGCAATACCCAGACGATGAGCTTCATGCGCAGTTCAGAGATGTCGGGGACCTCGTGACATGAAGCCTAAGGCAAGACGTCCTAGTGAAAGGCCAAGGACAATCAAAAAGGGGTTTATGGTCTAGGGCTTAGTATTCACGATTGACAGAATTTCGATCGATGTAGGAGAATCAATATGGGGAATAAGATGCCCTTGCCTGAGCGTGGCTGTTCTCTCCCCCTTCATCGTGTGATACCCCTGGGTTTGGGTTATGTTAGGGTACTGAATGCCCTTGCCCATGTGTGGGCGCGGGTCGTTCTGGCTTCATCCCCCATCCCGCATGCTTTTCTCGATGCAGGTGATTCTGACTTGCCTCCCTCGCTGTTAGTGCATGTCGGCAGGTATGTTCTTCTTCGCATTGCCCGTATGTCGACATGCTCAACAGTTGCGAGAATCGAAACACTAGAATCCCCATGGCTCTTGGCGCTGTTGAGATGTCGCAGTCGCCATAACATCAAGATCCAGAAGCAGCAGCACATGTGTACCGGAACCGCAAGCCCTAAACCCTAAACCCTAAACCCAAAACCCCTAAACCCCTAAACCCTAAACCCTAAACCCTACATTTATTGTGTCCGTTCGCCTTCTTGAGATGTCGTTGCGATACCGAGATCCCAAGAACACAGCACTTGCGAGGATTCCAGGCCAGGGCCGCTGTCATGCAGATTCCACGTTCCGAACCATAGGGTTTCGAACGTAGTCTCTTAGGGC